CCACTCTGCACATGTATCCCAGAACTTGAAGTATAATAATAAAAAAGTGGGCAAAAAGTAAAGAAAAAGAATATACAACAAAGACCTAATATTTTAGGCTTGCAAAGACAACTATTTTATTATTTGGTCTTTACAGAAAAAGTTTTCTAACCACTGCTTTACAGCAAAAATACTGTTGTAGATGTGGCATTTATTGATATAGCAGAGGGTTTTTTAGTAACTGATGAGACTTAAGCAAGATAAATACAACTTTCACCAACGTGTGGTATGCATGCTAATATAGCTTTCTTTGCAAGCATCTTACTATGACTGCTTATAGTAGTCCACACACCTCTCAAAGAAAACTCTTAATACCTATTCTTCCTTTTATATCCTCCATATAAGTTAATAGTATCACCTTCCCAACTCTCCACTGCCCCATAGCTTGTTTGTACTACCATTTCCGTCACCTTCCAGACACAGGTGGTCACCGGTCATTTTTGTTAAGACATCAGCAGATTATCTTGCCTCCATTTCCTTGGTCACTTTCTTCATCAAATACTCCTTGCAGTAAATGGGTGTCTCTGGCTGTGGTCCTAGCCCCTCAATAGAGGTAATACGTGAGAGAGAATGTATCAACAAATTGTACAGTCAATTGAGTGATGTTATGTGCTAGGTATACGTTCTGTGTAAAATTACTTCATTTGAATTCCATGATGATAGAGTTAATATGAATAATAACATTTTGTTATTTTATATCCAGGTTATGAAAACCAGGCTGGCTGTAGGCAAAACTGGGCAATACTCTGGAATATATGATTGTGCAAAGAAGATTTTGAAACAGGAAGGCTTGGGAGCATTTTACAAAGGTTATGTTCCCAATTTATTAGGTATCATACCTTATGCAGGCATAGATCTTCCTCTGTATGAGGTGAGTTTATAGCAATCTTTTGAATCTGAAAATGCAGTTAAACAGCTCCTGTTAGAATCTGACTTTATATGATGAAGTAGATATAAACCAGAAAACAGTGTGTGACCAGAAGTAAATTCAACATGTGTCATTTGAAACTTCAAGTAACTTAAGTGTGAATATGCATTGGGTCACTTTGTATTAGATTTCCTTGGGAATTGCTTTTGTTAATGAAGAGTAAACTTAAGATTAGGTATAGTTGTTCACCTTAAAAGGTGATTCTAGTGATTGTTTTCAGGGAAGACACAATAAGCAAATAAGTTCCTCTGTTTTGGATTTGCAAAAATCTGACATTAAACCAAGTGACTAATGTGACTAATGTGAGTAATACAGTTAGTTACTCATGTGAGTCATACAAGGAATAAAAGAATAAAATCTTGGATCAACCCTGCCATCTAAATCATTTAATAATATATGAATCTTACAAACATGTGTCGAGCACACACTATGCAAGCACTGGGTTAGACACTAGATCTAGGGATTCAAAGGACTCAGTGTGTGCCTTGAAGAAACTGAAGGTCTGGTGGGGGAGGCAGACAAACAACTAAAACCCAGTGTGGTTAGCTAGGCTGCCATGGACATGAGCCAGGGCACATGCTAGGATGGGACCCAAGCTATGGCATCCAGGAAGGGGGAAATGTGTAATGAAAAGAAGACTTGACTTTTTGTTAAGGAGCTTTATTGAGATTTAGTTCATGTTCCCTACATTTCACTCATTTGAAATGTGTAAGCAAATGGTTCTTGGCTTCATACATAATTTTTCAAATTATAATAAAATATAAAATTTGCCATTTTACTCCCTTCTAAGTGTACAGTTCAGTGACATTGATTACATTCACAATATTGTGCAGCCCTCAACACTATTTCCAAATCCTTTTCCTCACTCCAAGCAGAAACACCTTAACCTTTAAGCAACAATTTCCTATCCTCCCTAACCCAAACCCTTGGTGACCTCTAATCTGCTTTGTGTCTCTAGGAATTTACCCATTCAAGGTATCTTAGAAGCAGAAACATACAGTATTTTTCCTTTTGTGTCTGATTTGTTTCTCTTAGCACAATGTCTTTAAGGCTTGTTCATGTTGTAGCATGTATCAGAATTTCATTTCTTTTATTGGCTGAATCATGTTCCATTGTGTGTATACACTGTATTTTGTTTGGTCCTTCATCTATTGAATAACATTTGGATTGTTTCTACTTTTTGAATGTTGTGAATAATGCTACAGTGAACATTGGCATCTACATATCTGTTCAAGTCTATGCCTTCAATTCCTTTGGGTATTTACCTCGGAATGGAATTGCTGAGCCATGTGGTCATTCTGTGTTTAGCTTTTAGAAACTATCAGACTGTTTTCCGTAGTGGCTGCACCATTTTACATTCTCATCAGCAACATACAAAGGTTCCAGTTTTCCCGTGTCCTTACTAACACTTAATTTCCTTTTTAAAAAAGCTTATTTTATTATAGCTATCCTCTTAGGTGTGAAGTGGTATCATGGTTTAGGACTTTACTTCTTGTGCTGAATTTTTTTAAAATTATGATTAAAAACACATAACAAATTTTATGATTTTAGCCATTTTAAAACATATAGTACAGTAATGTTAACTGTTTGTGGTTTGTTGCGTAACAGATCTCTAGAACTTTTTTACCTTGCAAAACCTGAACTCATTAAACAACAGCTCCCAATTTCCCCTTCACCCCAGCACTGTGTAACCTCCTTTTTCTATTATAAGTTTGACTACATTAAATACCCCATATAAGTGAAATCATGTGGTATTTCTGTTTCTGTGACTGGTATTTCTATTTCACATAACAAAATTTCCTCAAGATTCATCCATGTGATAGCATGTGACAGGATTTTTTTTTTCATTGTTAAGGCTGAATAATATTTCATTGGATATATATATGTCACATTTTCTTTATTTGTCTGTTGATGGACATTTATTTGCTTCGATATAATGGCTATTGTGCATAGTGCTGCAGTGAACACAGTTATGCAAACATCTCTTCAAGATACTGTTTTCAATTTTTTTTGACATATACTCAGAAGTGGAATTTCTAGGTCAGATGGTAATTCTGTTTTTAAGTTTTTGAGGAACCTCCTTGTCATTTTTCGTGGTGAATACACTTTCTTCTTTTAACATTCCTATCAACGTACACCAAGATTCCAATTTCTCCACGTCCTCCCCAACAGTGTTGAATGGGGTAGTGAAGTCTCCTACTATTACTGTGTTGCTGTTTTTTCTCCATTCAATTCTATTAATGTTTGCTTCATATATTTAGGAGCTTAATATTAGGGCCACATATAGTTATAATTATTATGTCTTACTGGTACAGTGACCTTTTTATCATTATATACAATCTATCTTTGTCTCTTGTGACAGTGTGTGTCTTAAAATCTATTTTTTCCGATATAAGTGAGGCCACCCCCGTTCTATTTGGGTTCCTGTTTTTATGGAATATCTTTTTCCATCCTTTCACTTTCAGCTTATGTGTGTCCTTAGATCCAAAGTGAGTCTCGTAGATAAGGTATAATTGATTCTGTGTGTGTTATTCATTCAGCAATTTATATTTTTTAATTGGAGGAATTAATTCATTTACATTTAAAGCAATTACTGACAAGGAAGGGATTACTGTTTTCATTTGGCTAGCTGCCTTTTAGTTTTGTCTTGTGGCTTTCTTGTCTTTTCTTTTCTTCCTGGATTCTTTTTTTTTTTGTAGTGACATGTTTTGATTCCCTTTTCATTTCCATTTGTGTGCATTCTATAGATACTATCTTTGTGGTTACCATTGTAACTACATAAAACACCAAAGTTAGAGCAATCTATTTTAAACTGTTTACAACTTAACTTCAGTGGCATATAAAACTCTGCTCCTTTACATCTTTCACCTCCTCCCTACCAACTTTATGTCTTTCGATATTGCATATCCTTAACAGAGATTTATAGTTACTTTTTGTGCTTCTCTTCTTTAAATTGTGTTTAAATATTATTTTTGAAATTTAGATTTAGAAGTTATTTATACACTTTCATTACAATACTATAGAATTTTATAATATTCTAAATATTGACCTTTACCATGGAGCTTCCTGTTTTCATATGGTTTTGTGTTTCTATTTATCAACCTTTTGTTTCTCCTTTTAGCCTTTCTTGTAGGACCGGTCTAGTGGTGACAAACCACATCAGCTTTTGTTTGTCAGGGACAGTCTTAATTTCTCCTTTGTTTCCGAAGGGCAGGTTAGCCCATACAGTATTTTTGTTTGGCAGTTTTTTGAATTTCAAAACTTAGAATATAATATCCTACTTCCTTCTAACCTGCAAGATTTCCATTGAGAAATGCACTTAATGGATTTTTTAATACACGGAGATAGTTTTTTTTTAAATTCTGTCCTGTAGGATTGAAAATTTTTAGTCTTTTTTTTTTTTTTGAGATGGAATCTTTATTGATCAGGCTGGAGTGTGGTGGCGCAATCTTGGCTCACTGCAATCTCCGCCTCCTGGGCTCAAGCAATTCTTCTGCCTCAGCTTTCCAAGTAGCTGGGATTACAGGTGCATACCACCATGCCTGGCTAAATTTTTGTGTTTTAGTAAGACAGGGTTTCACCGTGTTGCCCAGGCTGGTCATGAACTCCTGAGCTCAGGCAGTCTGCCTGTCTTTGCCTCCCAAAGTCCTGGGACTACTAGTCATATAACATATTAACATGTATTTTATGCTTAAAATATCTTATGTTTAAAAGTTGATTATCATATATATTTTATACACGGACCTAGAGTAATAGGGAATAAAGCATGGCCTTTTGATCAGCATGCCTGATTCTGAGTCCTTCTTAAAAAACTTTGCTGAGACGAATTTTCCTCATTTCTAAAACCAGAATAAGAGATTTATGACAGCGTTTTTGTAAGACCCAAATGAAATGTATGCAAAGTGTAAAATGAGATGCAGTTAGTAGAACCATTTCATTAATGCTCACCATAAGAGGTGTTCTTTAGATCCTGTGGCATTTGGTATGCAGTTCACATTTGTTTAGAAGAACGTGAGTAACTGGTGCAAACCTCATGTGTTCTGCATCCTCAGTGGCCTCCTACGTCTCAACAGAGAAACTGCTTCCTACAGTGCCTGCTGCTTCTGTGAACCTGCAGCCCCATCCTGCAGAAATGGGGCTTCTCATGAGGTTCAGAATAGCTGTGAAAGTGTTTACATCGAGTGAAGTTGTAGAGTTCATTGTTTATTATTTTTCTTCTTTATTTATCTGGCAGCTCTTGAAGTCCTATTGGCTGGATAATTTTGCAAAAGACTCTGTAAACGCCGGAGTCATGGTGTTGCTGGGATGTGGTGCCTTATCCAGCACCTGCGGTCAGCAGGCCAGCTATTCATTGGCATTGGTGAGAACTCGCATGCAGGCTGAAGGTGAGCTTTTCATGACAGAGCTACACCAGTAAAAGTGCTGCACCAGTAACATACTTTCAGAACTCCAAGTTCTACTAAGATGGTATTGTTCAACCTTTTTTCATTATTGCCTTCTTAAGGAATCTTTACAGAAATTCATTTTCTTTTTTTTGTTTTTTTTTTTTTG